AACTAACAACTGTAGTTTCGACGGTGAATACGTAGCCAGTGGTGCTTCTTCGGTGATCAACTTCACCCCTAAAGTCTGCATCTACGTACCATTGCACTTTCATCTCTCCCTTACCAAAGTACAAACACTTATGTGTGGTGCCTTGTAGATATCTCAGAATCCACTTGACTATTTCCCAATGAGTTTTTTCTAGATTCGACATAAATTGGCTGACCACTCCCACTGCATGACCAATGTCTGATCTCGTACAAACCATTGCGTACATCAAACTTTCGATAGCTGAGGCGTAAGGGACCTTAGCCATACTCTCTCTTCTTCTGACTGAGGAGACTGATCATTCAATAGACGAAAATGGCTAGCCAAGGATGTGTTCACTGGCTTGGCGTCGCTCATGTTGAATCTTTACAAAACACGGTTGATGTACTCCGCCTGAGATAACTGCAAGAGACCTCTCTTCTTATCTCTCGTGATTTGCATTCTAAGGATCTTCTTTGCTGGATCTAAGTCCTTCATGTCAAACTCCTTTGACAGCTACTGTTTCAAACTCTTAATATTCTTCATATCTGCACCTGCAACCAACATATCATCAACATACAGCAGTAGGATGATATAACTGGACTGATATCTTTTGAAGTAGTAACAGTGGTCGGCGTTGCACTTCTGGAAACCTTTATTGTGCATGAAGCCGTCAAACTTCTTGTACCACTGCCTTGGGACTTGTCTCAGGCCATACAAGCTCTTCTTGAGTCTGCACACCAGGTTTTTCTTCTTTTATTCTGAGAAACATTCTGGCTGGTGCATATATATCTCCTCTTTTAGATCTCCGTGAAGAAATACCATCTTCATATCTAACTGCTCAAGACGAAGACCTTCAATTGTTACAATACTCATCACAGTCCTGATAGTATTTAGCTTCACTATGGGAGCAAAAATATCGGTGTAGTCAATTCATTCTTTTTGCTGGAATATTTTGACAACTAGCCGGAGTTTATATCTTTTGGAGCTATCCTGCTCCTCTTTTACCCGGTACATCCATTTATTATGGTGTGTCTTCTTACCCATGGGCAACTCAGCTAGTTCTCACGTCTGGTTTGAGATGAGAGACTTCATCTCATCTTTCATGGCAAGCTCCCACTTGCTCGCATATCCACTCTAACAAGCTTCATCGTAGCTTTCAGGCTCCTCTCCATTTGTCAGCAACAGATAGTTCATATATCTCCTGTTAGGCACAGGAGGCCGAGAAGATCTTCTCAATATCGGAGCTGGTGCGTCGGGCTCCTGCGCATCATTTTGTCCAACAAGCTTTTCTGGCTGAGGACCTTCTGCATTGGGTTCTTTTGAGAGGTTACTCGGGACATCATCTGTATCTACAAATATTGACTCGCTCTCTAAGTCAACTATCTTGTGCATGTCCTTATACATCACTTTCTCGTTAAATATCACATCTCTGCTCCTGATCACCTTCTTGTTTTCGTTGTCCCAAATACGGTAGCCCAACTCATCTTCACCATAGCCGATGAAAGTGCATTTCTTTGACTTGGGATCAAGCTTATTCCTGCCTTGATCACTAATATGCACATAAGCTATACAACCGAAAATTTTGAAATGTGAGAGTTTTAACCTTCTTTTCGCACCATACCTATTCAGGTATTCTGTGCTCCAATGAAACCGATGGACCTCGGTTGATCAAGTAAGCTACTGTGTTGACTGCTTCTATCCAGAACTTCTTCGGTAGGTCTGACTATATCCGAATGCTTCTGGCTCTTTCTGTTAATGTTCGATTCATCCGCTCAGCTACACCATTTTGCTGAGACGTGCCGGGCACGGTTCTCTCCATTCTGATCCCGTGCTTATACCAGAACTTTTTTAATCCGATGTCTTCATACTCACCGCCATTGTCGGTCCTAAGCTTCTTTATTCTTGACCATAGCTTTTCATCTCCTAAAAGCTTCAAATACTTCTGATCATCTTTCAGAAAGTAGACTCATACTTTCCGAGAGTGATCATCGATAAAAGTCACGAAGTAGTGTTTACCACCAATGGATGCGGTGGAGGTTGGTCCCCAAACATCTGAATGAACGAGCTCTAGTTTCTCTTTCCTGGGGGTTCTGTCACTTGTCTGAAGGCTGACTCTCTTCTGCTTTCCAAGTATATATTCTTCACACATATCTAAATCAATTGATTCTAGATCTGGGAGTTTTTTCTTTGTGTGCATGATCTTCATCCCCTTCTCACTCATATGACCGAGTTTCTGGTGCCATAACTTTGAAGTCTCATTGCCTGTTGTAACTGAGATCAAACAACGCACACCTGCTGTCATATACAGAGTACCAGTCTTCTGGCCCCGGGCAATCGTTATTGTGCCCTTTGAGATCTTCCAATCATCTTCATAGAAGGTCGTAGTGTATCATTCGCTAGCCACCTGGCTTACAGATATTAAGTTCTTTCTCAGGTCGGGAATATGCCTGACATCCTTCAGCTCCCATACTGACCCGTTCAACTTAATTTTTACTATACTTTTATCCATAATAGCACACGGTTGATCATCACCAAGGTATACGTGTCCAAGATTTCCGGGGGATATACTTCTCGAAGAATTCTTTCTGAGAAGTGGCATGGAATGACACTCCTGAATCTCATTACCTACTGCAACTGAGATCAAACAACGTGCACATGCTGTTATATATAGGGTACCGGTCTTCTGGCCCCGGGCAATCGTTATTGTGCCCTTTGAGATCTTCCAATCATCTTCATAGAAGGTCGTAGTGTATCATTCGCTAGCCACCTGGCTTACAGATATTAAGTTCTTTCTCAGGTCGGGAATATGCCTGACATCCTTCAGCTCCCATACTGACCCGTTCAACTTAATTTTTACTATACTTTTATCCATAATAGCACACGGTTGATCATCACCAAGGTATACGTGTCCAAGATTTCCGGGGGATATACTTCTCGAAGAATTCTTTCTGAGAAGTGGCATGGAATGACACTCCTGAATCTAACACCCAAGATTCCTCCTTGCTCTCCAAAGAGCATATCAATACGTCGTCTCCTCCTGAGGTGGCAATGACATTCACCTCTGCCTTCGCCTTCTTCTCCTTCTGTGCACTCTTTCACTGATTCTTGTAGTGCCCAGTCTTTCCATAATTCCAACACTCGATAGCCTTCAAGCTGTTGCTTGGATTTCTGGATTTGGACCTCCTGTCCTTTGATCTACCTCTGTAGTTTGATTTGTCTCGTTCGTTCCCTCTGGTTGAATTTCTATCTCTTGATTTTATATGCAATATTGAAGATGTTGTAGCTTTACCCGATTCTCTCCGTCGGATCTCTTCACTGAGAACCAGATCACGAACGTCATCGAATTTCAGCTTGTTACTTCCCGATGAGCTACTCATAGCCGTGACTGTAGCGTTCCGACTTTCTGATAGGGAAGACAAAAGTATCAACGCCCGAACTTCATCATCAAACTTAATTTCAACCGAACTTAATTGAGTTGTGACCGTGTTGAGTTCATTGAGGTGTTGTGCTACTGACGCGTCTTACGTCATTCTCAGATTGAATAACCGCCGTATCAAATGAATTTTTTTTGTGGCTGATGACTTCTCATACATATTTGAGAGTGATGCCATAAGACCGCCGTGATCTTCTCCTTCGCTATGTTGAAAGCAACATTACGGGTCAACGTCAATCTGATAACACCGATGGCTTGTCTGTCTAGAAGGTTCCACTCATCCTCCTTCATCGATTCCAGCTTCTTTTCCGATAGTGGTTGATACAGATTTTTCTGATACAGATAATCCTCAATCTGTATTTTTTAGAATTCAAAATCTGATCCATCAAACTTCTCTAATCTCATCTTTCCTTCATCTGCGGTCATCGCTCCCACTTGAATCTGACTACCTCTAAATCGTTTCAGGCTCTGATACCAGTTGTTGGGAATTTTAGATCGAAACCCCTAAAATAACAGAAACATAGTACAGAGAAAAGTACACCAAGATTTAACAAGGTTCGACTACTGCCTACGTCCTTGGGAGCCACATAATTAAATTCTTATTAATTAATAAGAAATTACAATGCAAGAGCAGATCTCAAACTTGAGATCTCCCAATAAATACTAAATATCATTGTAGCTACAGTAATATTATCCCCTCTTTATATACCAATTCCTTCTCTCTTGAATCCCCTATTTAATTCTCTCCCTCAAATCTCTCTTTAATTTCCCTCAAATCTCAGAGCGCTGAAAGAAAAGAATCGCGAGAGGGGAGAGAAGGAGATCAGCCGCCGCTGAAATATCGCGAGAAAGAGGAGAAGCTGTCACACACCCCCACGAGATCTGGGTTTCTCTTTTATAGGGAAACCCTAGCTAAGTTATCGACAGGCTGTCGACAGCTATGAGGAGCTCGCCTGCGCCACAACCTCGCTTGCGTGGGGTTCTCGAGCTCGCCTGATTTGCCCATTCTTGCCTGGATCTCGCCCACTCGACCTCGCCTGATTGGAGTCGACATCGCCTGCAGATCCCCAAAGTCGAGCTCGCCTGGATCTCGTCGAGCTTGCCTGGATCTCGTCGAGCTCGCCTGCATCAACCTCGCCTGACCCTGCACCGTCGAGCTCACCTGCAGCACGATTCGAGCTCACCTACAAAGCCTCTACCTCGCCTGATGTCACTCGACAGATCTCGCCTAGACTGTGTCACCCGCGCTCGCCTGCGTGGATCTCGAGCCCGCCGGAGCTCACCTCGCCTGTCGTCGCCTGCGGAGGTTTGTATCCACACCTAATTCCAACAATACATGCATGAGATTGAATGTACTGGTCTTCCATAGATATAACATTTACTTTATAGAAATTAGGAACCCATAGAATCCGAATCCTCTCATTATAAGCTTTTGAGCAGTTATAAATCCTTCTCCAATGAGGAAAACATTTTCTAATAATATCCACAGATTTTGTACATTTTAGACCGTTACTGGTATATACTCGAACATGTACCGAAAATTTTCATGGCTAACTTGTTTTCTTTGCAGGAGAAACAGTTGAGCCTCTCTGCAAGTACATTCCTGGCCATAATTCATTGCGGTTATCAGACCTAAGCTTCCTTCTCAACTCTAAAAGGCGGCAGAAGCAAGCATTGGAAGTTTTTTCCATGGTAAGAAAAGCAAATTGCATTCTCTTCACTTCCTTCTATGAGCTTGGGGCTCAAGTAATAGACACATTGCGAGAGCAACTTCACTGTCCAGTATACACGATTGGCCCTTCCATTCCCTACATGCATCTTGAGGACACTAATAACAACATTGACCACATCGAAGAATGGCTAGACTCACAACCGAAGGAATCAGTACTCTACATCTCATTGGGCAGTTTTCTCTCAGTCTCGGGTGCTCAAATGGATGAGATTGCAGTGGGTCTAAAATTGAGTGGAGCAAGATTCGTGTGGGTGGTTCGTGGAGATTTTTCTTCAAGGCTACGGGAAATGGCTGGTGAGATGGGGATCATAGTTCCATGGTGCAATCAACTGAAGGTTTTGAATCATCGTTCGATTGGGGGATTTTTGACGCATTGTGGATGGAATTCTACATCAGAGGGCGTTTTCTGTGGGGGTGCCTATGCTTACTTTTCCGTTCTTTAGGGATCAGTTCGTTGATAGTAGACTTATTGTCGATGACTGGAAGATTGGGTTGAATTTGAGGGGAAATATTAAGAGTGAATGCGTAGTTGGTAGAGAGGAGATTTCTTCGGCTGTGAAGAAGTTGATGGATTTGGATTGTGATGAGGGTGGGGAAATGAGGAGAAGAGCTGCAGAGCTCAGAGCGTCTGCTCGTAGGGCGGTCTCAGCTGCTGGATCTTCGACGGAGAATCTTAATTCTATCGTTAGAGCTCTTATGCTGGGTGATGGTCGTTAGTTTGGTATATTTTATTTTTAGCTATTATCGAGAACAGCAGAGGCAACACATTGAGTGATACCACCCTTCAGCGGGAGAGGTTCCAGGTTTGGGATTATCTCATAGTCTCTGTTGTTGTACGATTTACCTATAATTTCCGACGCAAACAACCTATTTCAGCTTTTTGTCTTGATTGAATCATTACACATGGCAATTGTTATTAACCAGGTTTATAATCTACTATTGAGGAAGACAGAGATACCACTCTTAGTTGGGAGGTTCCAGGTGTAATGATTTAGTATAGTACCTTTTTTATATACATTTCTACAGTTAATCTTATTGCACATTTTTAATATATACGCACATGTCCATGCCCAAAATTCTACTTCAATCTATAGTTTAGACTTGAGCGCGATATCCTGATCTAAGCATTTATAATAGTTCAAGGGTCAATTGCGAACAGAATCCCCGTAGTAGTATCACCCAATCGCAAACCATTTATAGTTCTGTTTTCGCAAATAGACATCCTGAATGAATTTTATTCAACTCTTAAAATTCTTAAAAAGTTTCGAGGAGATGTGTACGCCCCCGGTAAATCGGTAAATCAATTGGCAAGGATAAACCCTCAATTGCTAATATATATTTTTTAAAAGAAGTCAAAAATTTTTAATAGGGGATTGTATTCACACGTGGGCTCATATTATAGCTATTGTATTGCCTACAAATAGAACTATATGGGGTCTATTCATAATTGGATGTTGCTACGGAGGGTCTATACACATTTAACCCATAGTTCAATGACAAGAATGAGCAAGACTTATATAGTTTCTTCTATTGTGGTCCGAAAAGGAACTCCAGTGTGACTATGATATTTTCCTCACAGTGAATGAGGTATTAATAGCAGCCCTAGAACAAATTCCCTGTTTGAATATATTTAAATTGGACCCCTGAGTCTATTGCAAGAACTTGGAACTCTGAAACCTACAGTTCATCATTGATGATGCCATGCTTTTATCATCTCATCACTGATTTTAGCTGAAAAATATTTTTTCTTCCAAAACATTATCTGAAATCTCTCAAATTTGACCTTTTTTTGACAGCAAAAGGAAATCAAGAACGTAAAGATTGCAGAATACTTGGTAATTTATCTTGAACACCATCAGTATCCAAACTGTCGAACAGATGAAACGCCAAGAAACACAGACGGAGAATCTATCCACAATGAAGACACTGGAATATTCATCCTCTTGCCGATCTCAGCCACCCACATCAACGTCGAGCTAGTCAAAATATGCCCAACGTTCAGTTCCAGATTTTGGAGTAAGCTCCTCGATGGGAGCCTCCATTTTACTGTAAACAGCGCGAACAACGCTAATCTGATCAGCTCCACGAGTCTTTCCTGAAGGGAAGACATTAGTGACTGTGCACAGCTTCAGGTAATTTGGAAACGGTGAAAAGGCAACACAGTGACGATGGAAACTGAGGCGATGATTTTGGTGGCGAGAAGGCAACACAGTCTCAGCATCGGATTTATGTGGCTTCTGTTGTGCGCAACGGACGAATCACAAACCAACGAACGAGAAGAAAGTAATCAAAATAACCAAAACTCAAGTACCAAACAGTAAGACAACGAATTTACGTGGTTCGGCAATGTGCCTACGTCCACAGGGCAAGGAGGATGAGGTTTTACTAATAGAGAGAAAGAGAATACAAATAGGGTTTACAATCTCACAAAATCTCACAAATAAAACCCTCAAACAAAGCTCTGAAATCTCTCACCATTTCTCCCTCAAAAGTGCTCAAAAACCCTCTCAATGTTTGCTGGAAACTGAGGCGATGATTTTGGTGGCGAGAAGGCAACACAGTCTCAGCATCGGATTTATGTGGCTTCTGTTGTGCGCAACGGACGAATCACAAACCAACGAACGAGAAGAAAGTAATCAAAATAACCAAAACTCAAGTACCAAACAGTAAGACAACGAATTTACGTGGTTCGGCAATGTGCCTACGTCCACAGGGCAAGGAGGATGAGGTTTTACTAATAGAGAGAAAGAGAATACAAATAGGGTTTACAATCTCACAAAATCTCACAAATAAAACCCTCAAACAAAGCTCTGAAATCTCTCACCATTTCTCCCTCAAAAGTGCTCAAAAACCCTCTCAATGTTTGCTCAAATTTGTCCCTTAAAACCTTTAGAAAACGTGTTCCTACTTATATCAAAACATAAACCCAAACCAATCAAGAAACTGAAACAGGGTCCAAATCCGCGATCCGGTCGACCGGGCATGAGCATCTGGTCGACCGGGCATGAGCATCTGGTCGACCGGCCAGAAGGTCAAAATTGAACACTGTAAAACAAACAGGTTCGTTAGACCGGGCTTCTCCTTGCGGTCGACCGGTCAGAGGGGCTGATTTCTTAGCCTGTAGTGTGCACGTTTCCGGTTGATTAACCTAAGCCCGAGGTCGACCGGCCTGCACCAAAAATTATCCTTGCTTCATTTTTCCTGTTCTCTTTCGTTGTTTTCGCCATTTCTACAAATCTCCACCTCGGTGAAGTTTTTCCAAAACTGAGCCGACCTCAAAAACCAACCATCCATCCCGCTTGTTGCGTCCAGTACGAAGTGGACTCAATCCACGACAACGGACTCAATCCACAACAAGTCGGGAATCCAAATGAGAACTCAAATAATCTCCCCCCGTGTCGATATCAACTCATCAAATTGGCTGTATCAAACTGACTGCCTACATATCCTCTTGCCCAAAGAATCAAGCCTCACGTAGTTCACCCAAATGGTTGTAAACGACCTCAATCAACTTGAAGGATTCTCAATCCTTCACCAACTTCACGACCGTCACCAAGTGTCTTCTTCCAAAACCATGCACCCAAGTGCTCATAGTGTGAACGATCCGTGACAAATCTTGGCCTTGTATACACCCTTGCACCAATCAAGCTACCTAATAGCTTACAACATACAAACGGGTCAATCAAGCAACTGGTGTAAACTCCTCAAATACTAACAAATCTGCACCTGATAGTACCCTGATGGTCTTAGAATGAAAAGACAAGCTCTCTTTCAAACTTACATCTCTCCACACCAACTCTATATTGGAGCTTAACCCCTCAACCTTATATGTAGAAGAAACACTATTACCATACACCTCCACCTGAGGTTAGCCAACGACCATAGCCAAATCTGAACTGTGTCCACCTGCTGTACTCGAATCCTAATCCTAAACCTGACCCTCCGGTTCTTGATCCTCAAACTCATCATCTGTATCAACATCAACTATATGATCCTCAATCAGTGTCACATCAGCTAGAATCCCAACAATACAGAATGATCTAGAGAACGTGGAGTAATCTCCACCCAACGTGAAGTAGTATCACTCTTCACTTGCTGCGATACATCTATGATCTGTCCAACACTCTTCACCTGCTGAGAGTCAATAGGCTCCATCATCGAAGCCTCATCAAAAGTGACATTACTGCTCAGAACTACAAACTTCATTACACTCGGATCAATTTTTACATGCTTGATGTGATAATAGGCTGGGCACCCAAATATCCGAAGCAACCCATAATCTGAAGAAGCTCTACTAGACTAAACTTCCAATGGAATTTTACCTCCAATCGCAGCAGACGACAACCTGTTAATAAGATGGAATGAATACGTCAAAGCCTTAGCCCAAAAATTCTTTTGCAAACCACTGCTTGACAATAAACACAGAATCTTCTCCAGCAAGGCACGGTTCATCAACTTTGTCACTTCATCTAGTTGCCCTAATGTTCCCTTTCCATCGAAGTGTCTCAAAATACCTTAGAGCTCAGCACAAACGCAGAAACAGATCCCTCTTATACTTTCCACCAAAATCAGAATGGAGTACTTTGACCTTTCTGTCTATCTTAATCTCTATACACTTCTTCCACTTGTTGAAGACTAGTAGGACTTCATTCAAACGGGACTTGGTTGTAACCCATACATGCCTAGAACAATCATCAATAAAGGAAACCAAATATCTATTACCTCTTAATGATGCCTCATTGGAAGGCCCCCAAACGCCCACGTGAACCACATCTAGAAGGCCCTTAGCTCGGTGAATAGAGGTGACAAACTTCACCTTGGTCTTCTTGCTCACATCACAATGTTTACAGGACTTTAAATTGCAGGTCGATGCACCTTTTACCAATCCTTGCATTGCCAAAGTTTGCAAGGAATCAATACTGGAATGTCCCAGCCTCAAATGCTATAGTCTAGTCAAATCAATAGAAGTCATCAGTACTCCACCTATCATCGTACTTCCAGTCAAGTGGTACAAGTTATTCTTTCTGATACCCTTCATCACAATCAAAGAGCCTTTCACAATCTTGAAACTCATGTCCTCAATACGAACTTTCAAACATTCTGCAACTAAAGCTCCAATTGAGATCATATTCTTTCTCAAAGAAGGAACATATCTCACACCATGTATCTCTCTAACCATCCTATTATACATCTTGATGCAAATTTTACCTATCCCAAGGATTTGACATGCACGGTTATCACCCATGTACACCACACCACTATCTAGCTTCTCAAACTGAAAAACCATTCCCCTTTAGAGCACATATGATAGGTTGCACCACTATCCAACATTCACTCGGATACTTCCGAATAGCAACCTGTGGAACTGATAAAAAGCGAAAAAACAAATGAGTCAGAACTATTACCATCCGATTTGAAGACGTTTGCTTCTGGTAGTTTTTTTTTCCCTTTTTCTTCTTATTCTTTATCCATTCACCGAGCTTTAGATAATTTTCTTCCAATGACCAGTCTCTTTACAACAAGCGCACTGATCTTTACCAACTGTAGGATACCCTACTCTAGACTGCGACTTCCCATTATCTTTACTTTTTCTGTTTGGATTTTTCCCTTTTGCGGTCAATACCTCTGCTATTGTGTCATTTGAAGACTCTTTGTCTTTCTTCCTTAACTGATAGTTTACAAGGGCAGTGGTAACCTCACTATATGAAAGGGATGCTTTCTCATTAATTAGGGTAAGAATAAATGTCTCATATTCCTCATCAGGTAAGGAACTCAACAACAACAATGCCTTGTCCTCATCCTCGATCATGATATCCACATTCGCCAAATTCGCAGGAAGCTTTGTGCAATTATTCATGTGATCACCAATTGAGATTTTCTTCTTCAACTGGAAATGGTAAAATCTCCCCTTCAAATGCAAGCGATTCTCAATACTCTTCGTCAAATACTTGTCTTTGAGAATCTTCCAAATCTTCTTTGCAGAAGTCTCATTGATCACATTATATTTTAGATCCTGCGTTAAACAAGGCCTAATGACGCCACACGCCGTCCACTTCATTTTCTTCCAAACCTTATCTTCAATATCATCCGGCTTGCCATCCAACTCAAAGTATCCTCCAAATTCTGTGCTTTCAGCGCATCCAAAACCTCACATCTCCACAAACCAAAGTTGTTTGTGCCATTAAATTTCTCCACATCTATCTTCGTAGAGTGGATATATATTCAAACTTTGAATGATCTTCATGCCGGAAGTACCACTCTCAACACCCGATGCACCTTCTTTCTCAGTCATCTTCCTTAAAACACCAACAAACCAATGCGGAACGAACTAAGAAAAATAGATCCAAATTGAGGAAAGATAGATTTTACCTCCAACTAAAACCCTAACAAGAGTCACCAAATGATCTCACCATCACACGATAAGACAAGATCCACAATGATAAAAATCCCACCTTTGTCTCCAAGTGAAACCCTAGAAGAGCTTCTAAAGCGATCTACTCCTCCACCTAACCCCAAGCGTAGTCTGGAGCTCTGATAGCACTTGTTGTGCGCAGCGAACGAATCACAAACCAACGAACGAGAAGAAAGTAATCAAAATAACCAAAAGTCAAGTACCAAACAGCAAGACAGCGAATTTACGTGGTTCGACAATGTGCGCCCTACGTCCATGGGGCAAGGAGGGGGAAGATTTTACTAATAGAGAGAAAGAGAATACAAATAGGGTTTACAATCTCACAAAATCTCACAAATAAAACCCTCAAACAAAGCTCTCAAATCTCTCACCAATTCTCCCTCAAAAGTGCTAAAAAACCCTCTCAATGTCTGCTCAAATTCGTCCCTTAAACCCCTAAGAAAACGTGTTCCTATTTATATCAAAATAGAAACCCAAACCAATCAGAAAACTAAAACAGGGCCCAAATCCACGATCCGGCCGACCGAGCATGAGCATCCGGTCAACCGGCCAGAAGGTCAAAATTTAACCCTATAAAACAAACAGGGTTCGGTTGACCGAGCTTCTCCTCGCGGTCGATCGGCCAGAGGGGCTGATTTCTCAGCCTGTAGTGTGCACGTTTCCGGTCAACCGGCCTAAGACTGCGGTCGACCGGCCTCCCCCAAAATTGTCTCTGTTTCGTTTTTCCTGTTCTCTTTCGTCGTTTTCGTCGTTTCTACAGCTTCGTCCTGGATGGTATTGCGACGACACAGCACGAAACATGTTGAGATTTTCATTGCAGAGATCAGACTGCATGTCTGGATTCAGGCTATTCAGTCTTAGCACGAAACATGTTGAGATTTTCATTGCAGAGATCAGACTGCATGTCTGGATTCAGGCTATTCAGTCTTAATATGATTATTATCAAGCAAATGATTAAAGAGATCAGACTGCATGTCTGGATTCAGGCTATTCAGTCTTAATATGATTATTATCAAGCAAATGATTAAAAAGTTCATAGGGATGTTCACAAGAAACGTCACTTCCATATTAGGTAACTAACAAAATGGCGTAAGAGAAGTTGAGGTATCAGCCAAGAAGTTTAGTATACTCAAAGATGCTCATTGCATGATGCATCACGTAAGTATCCTAAGGTATTCTATTCTTAAAGGTTAAAAAAAATCCATACATTACGTAACCATAGAGAATGATATGACCAACAGACCATAACTCAATGGTGTAAGGGGCCCTCTGTTTCTATACAAGCATTAAAAAAAACATAAACTTAATCATCACTTTCAAGATAATTAAGGGAAAGAAACCGAGCCAAAACATTGTTTTGGTTCTGCACCTACTGAGTTAAGACAATAAGGCAAAACAACAATTCGTTCTCAATTTTCCTCTACATAGAATTTTCTTTTGAGAAGTGCAACGTTGAACTCCAAACATGACTGAAGAGAACAAGAGCTGAAGAGAAAACAATGCAGATATCTCTGTGAAGAGGTTCGCCTTGAGAACAATACTAACGTCTTGTGTTCTTGTGATTATTGTTACAACAGAAAATAAATAGCAACATCATAGCCCTGCATATGATCGACCAAATTAGCAGCCGCTACCCTGCATAAGATCTCTAACGAAAGAACCAAGTTTCTCCGAGGAAGATCCACCAGCTGAGATAGCTCTACGGGCAGAACCTCGGAGTTCTGCAGCTCTTCTCCTTATGTCCCTACTCTCATCACCATCCGAATCGATCAACTTCTTCACAAGCAACGCGATCTCCTCTCTGCCAACCACACCTTCCCTCCCAGTATCTCCTCTCAAATTCAACCCAATCTTCCATTCATCAACAACAAGCCTACTAACCACTGGCTGATCCCAAGATATCGGGAGAGTAAGCATTGGAACCCCACAAAATACACCCTCTAACGTAGAATTCCATCCACAGTGAGTCAAGAATCCCCCTATCGAGTCGTGGTTCAAAACTTTCAGTTGATCGCACCATGGAACTATGATCCCCATGTCGCCAACCATTTCTTGCAGTCTCGAAGAAGAATCTCCACGGGCCACCCACATGAATCGTACCCCGCTCAATCTTAGACCTGTTGCAATCTCGTCCATTTGAGCAACCGAGACTGAGAGAAAACTACCCAACGAGACGTAGAGTACTGTTTTCTTGGGTTGTGAGTTTAGCCATCCTTGGATGTGGTCTATGTTGTCATTATTGTCTCTGAGATGCATGAAAGGAATAGAAGGGCCAATTGTGTACACTGGGCAGTGAAGTTGCTCACGCAATGCATCGATTATTTGGGACTCGAGCTCGTAGAAGGAAGTAAAGAGGATGCATTGTGCTCTTCTTACCATCGAAAAGGCTTCCAATGCTCGCTTCAGAGGTCTATAAGCGTTGAGAAGGGAGTTCAGATCAGATAACCGCAACGAATTGTGACCAGGAATATATTTGCCGAGAGGCTCATCTGCTTCTCCTGCAAACAAACAAGCTTAACCATGAATCCTTTTAGTAGATATTCAAGTATAATTGTAACGGTAATATTGTGTTCATCTAACATCGAAAATGGAAGGGCTAAAACGTATGAAATCGCAGATTCTACAACAAAAACATGTGTTTTTCAGGATTCACCGTGTTGGGGATTTAGCCTTGTATTTTAGTTCAGAAGACAACAGGAAGCAGAAGAAGCAGAGCAGCTACAGATAAGTTTGGGTCTTTGCCCTTGTATGCTTAGTCAGAAGTTTGGGGATCTAGGGTGTGTTTGGAAATCTTTTAAAATTGGCCAGTTTCAAACCTGACCTAATTTTAAAAGATTTTTTGTTTGGCAAACAAGAGGGTTAGATCTGGCCTGTTTTCATAGGCCAAAATTTAGCCTCTAAACCAGTTTTCTTCTGAACCGGGGGCTGATACAAAAGAAAATAGGTTTAGCATAAAATTGAGCTAGGACTAGATTCCTATTTCTTATATATTTTATGTAAAACCCTATGAATATGGTCATTTGGGTATAGGGTTAGAGGAGTGTCGATATGAAAAACTGCAAATTGTAAAGAGTTGTATATGGTGTAGAGAAGAAACAAAAGGGAAAAAAAATCTAGGATTTTGTGAGGGATTTTCGTTAGAATGAACAGAAGATTTCTTGCAATGATTTTGAAGAATGCAAGAAAGGGCAATATCTTGTAAATCTTTAAAAATTCTCGAATCTCTTTCTGTGAACGTAAGCGATTATTGAACCACGTAAACTATTACTTTTAAGTTAATAAAATTTTCTGATATATTGTCGTGGTTTCTGCTTGAAGGGGGTTAAACTTTCCTGCTCAGGACAGATGATCTACTTACATGACATGCTCTCTCTTGTTTCATCTTTTAAAGTAAAATCCTTTACGCTGAAAACTTAAAAAATTACAAACAATCCTCTTAAAAATCTAAAGCATCCTAAAAATTCCAAAACTATAATAGCTCCTTAAAAACATTTAAAAATTAAAAACAACTTTCTTAATATCCAGAAATTACAAATCATCCCATAAAAACCTAAAACTTAAAAACGAAAAGAAAGTAGCTAGACACATGGTTAGCACCAAAAACCCTTGGAAAAAATAAAATTTTACTTTGTGGACCCCTATAATCTTCCATACGTAAGCTAATGGTTCATTAATAAAAAAAAATATATTTATATTATTTAAACAATTAACATCATTCATCAGTCTGCTGAATATAGTTTTTGATTGATGAGGCACGAAGAATCCTCACTAACTCTACCCGTCCCCACCACTCGCCGCTTTAAAACAAAAGAAACCAAACTTTACCTCCTGCTTCGGTCCCTTCCGTCACGCGCCTCTCACGCCACCTCGCCGGAATCCTCTCGAACCCATGCAGCCGCGCCGAGAAGAACGACGGCGCATCGGAACACAGCGAGTAGACCGAACGCCACTCCTCTGCTCCCGACGCCACCGGCCACGGCAAGTACGTCCGCACGATCGCCGTCGCGGGCGGCGCCAGCGCCCGATCGACCAGCCTCGAAGGATCTCCACCTGGTGTAAACAGGCGTCGGCGTACCCTGAAGTCTTGCGCGGCCGCAACTCGGAGGATGCAGTTGGGGGACGCGACGAGGCGGAGCTCGACGGAGGCGGAGGATCCGGAGGTGTGACGATGGCGGGCCCACTCCTCGTGACGGAATGAAGGAGACAGAGGGAGGCTAGTCTCGTTGTTCGTTGTTGTTTGTTGTTGTTGACGAGGAGCGGCAGAGTCTAGCAGGCGTTGACGTGCGCGGCCGGTGTACGGGGACGGTGCAACTGGCGGGATCGTTGGGTCGGATCCGGGGGTCTTTTTCTGACGCGGACGTTGTTGAGGACGGTGGCGGGCGGGAGTTTGCTGTTTTAGAGGTGGAGAGGTGGACGACGATAGCTGAGTGATGAGATTTGCTTTTGGACCTCTTTAGATGAGGTTGGTTGACTAGTTTTGTAAAAAAAAGGGGGTTTTTGCTTTTAGACCCATTTCTTTACTCTCATTTATCTTTAAACCCAAGTACTATTATTTGTATCTTTAAGCCCAATTCACCTTTTGTATTTATCTTTAAATCCAATCTCTAAAATATAAAAACAAGTGGTGAAAATATAGTATTTTGAAGATTGGGTTTAAAGATAAATACAAAAGGTGAATTGAGCTTAAAGATACAAATAATAGTACTTGGGTTTAAAGATAAATGGGAGTAAACAAATGGGTCTAAAAGCAAAAACCCAAAAAAAAAACTTTAGAGAAATTGGCTGATAGTAGCAATTGTTGAGTTGAGAGGAGTTGCAGACTCTAAGAAATATATCATTATTATTTTTTAGTAGTACAAATACATTATACTCTCAAATACAAATACTCTCTTTCTCTCTCTATCTCTCTTTTTCTTTCTCTGCTACTAGGATGGATCTAGCACAAACACTTAGGGGTTATTTATAACATTGGTTTAGGGTAAGTAAACACTATTAGGATTAGGTGATTATTATAGCTAGGAAGGTGGGGGGATTAGGTGGGGGGATTAGCTGCTGACTTCAACACTACCCCTCAGCAGTGACTTTTCTATCCACGAGTCCAAGCTGACTTCGAAATTCTGTAAACTTTGAAGTATTTAGTGCTTTGGTGAATATGTTAGCTATTTTTTGTTTGTCCCGATTGGCTTCATTACGATCTCCTCCTGAAGAACTTTCTCTCGAAGAAAGTGATGATGTACTTCAATGTGTTTCGTCCTAGAATGACAAACTGGATTATCTGTCAATCGTATTGCAGACTGATTATCGCAATATAAAGCTACTGAGTAGTCTATGGACTGATGTAGATCTCTCATTAACTGAAAAAGCCACGTGCTTTCTGAGCTGCCATCGCTGCTGATCTGTACTCCGCCTCTGTAGTTGACAGTGACACCATTGATGGTCTTTTACTATACCAAGATATAGTCGTTGAACCGAGACTAAACATGTATCCGGTAGTAGACCTTCGAGTGTCATGATCTCTAGCATAGTCAGCATCACAATAGCTATAGACCTCACATTCTTCTCCTTTCTTATACATGAGACCATAGTTAACTATACGCTTGACGTACCTTAGGATCCTTCGGATTACATCTGAGTGAGGCTTCTTTGGCTTCTGCATGTATCTACTCATCACACCAATCGCAAATAAAATATCTGGTCATGTCATCGTTAAATAGATCAAGCTTCCAACTAGTTGTCGATATATAGTTGGATCTTCCAAATCTCTTCCTTCATATGCACACAGTCTCATATTTGTCTCCATCGGTATTGAGATTGACTTGCAATTGAACATCCCGTACTTGAGCAGCGTGTCCTTCGTATATTTTTCTTGGCAAAAGAATAGTCCATCCTTCCTTCGGTCGACCTCTAATCCGAGGAAATGTTTGAGCTCCCCAAGCTCCTTCATTTGAAATCTGACCGAGAGATTTATCCTCATTCTTTGGATTTCTGCTTCATCATGTCTAGTTAGGATTATAGTTATCCACATAGACCAACATGATTGCTAGCCTATTGCCAGTCTGTTTGACAAATAAACTAGAATCCGCAGGAGCAAGAAAGTATTCACTTTAAATTAAAAACTCACCAATCTTGTCATACCAAGCTCTCGAAGCTTGCTTCAGTCCGTAGAGAGCTTTCTTTAGCTTGCAAACATATATTTCCTTTTCTTTACTCTCAAATCTGATGGGTTGCTCTATGTAAATCTCTTGATCCACCTCACTGTGTAGAAATGTGTTCTTCACGTCCATCTGCCAAAGATTCCAACATTTGTTGGCTGCTAGAGCTAAAAGAACTCGAACTATTGTTATCTTGGCAAGTGGACTGAATCCAGTCCATACTGTTGAAAGAATCCTCGAGCCAACAAGTGTGCTTTGTATCTCTCAATCAACCCATCCGGTCGAGTCTTGACTTTGTAAACCCATTTTAGGAGATAGCTTTGACATCTTTGGGCTTTGGCAAAATAGCTTTGACATCTTTGGGCTTTGGCACCAACTCCCAAGTTTGATTCTGTCGTAGAACTTAAATTTCTTCCTCCATTGCTCGTCTTCATTTAGAAATTTCGTATGCAACCTCGAAGCTTGATGGCTCCTTCACATCTTCCATAATAGCAGCATTAGCATACTTAGGATTCGGTTGTCTGGGTCTTGTTGATCTTTGAAGTTGTTCAACTGGTTCTTCTTCGATGTCCTCCATCTGGCTCGGTCGCTCTTCTTCTGACGTTGTCTGATAAACCCCGATTTTCATGGATTATTCTCTTTTGAGGATGTTGAAGTGCTTGATTCTGTCTTTTCTGATTGACATAGCCCTTCTTCTTGACCTGGCTCCCCCCTTCTTTGCAACTGGTCCTCTAGATTACAACTTCTTGTGAGGCCCACCAAGACGAGGCTTCGTCAAACACAACATTCCTTGATATGTAGCACCGTTCGGTTGTAGGATCATAACATCTCCATCCTTTTTTTATTGTCATACACCCCAAATATACATCTTATAGCCTTTTTATCGAACTTATTGTGTAAGTGATCAGGCACAAAGAGATAACATACACAATTGAAAACTCTAAAATGGCTTACGGTTGGGTTGGTATTTCACAACTTTTTAAATGGTGGCATGAACTCTAGTTTTAGTTGTGGTAGCCGATTGATCACATACGTCGCCATCTTCATACACTCCGCCCAAAAATGTATTGGTACGTTCTTGGTATGAAGCATGCTTTGACATATCTCCGCAAGGTGACGATTCTTCCTTTTAGCTACGCCATTCTGCTATGGAGTATTTGGGCATGTTAGCTGTCGCCGAATCTTTTACTTCTTTAGGTAATCGTAAAAATCCTTCGATGTGTACTCTCCCCCATTGTCTGTGCGTAGGCAATGAATCTTCTTGCCAAGTTCTCCTTCGACTTCTTCTCGAAATTGCTTGAATTTAGAGAAAGCTTCAGACTTTTTCTTCATAAAATTAACCCAAACATACCTCGAGTAATCGTTGATGAAAGTGATCATGTATCACATCCCACTGATTGATTTTTGTTTTACTCGACCAAATACATCTGAGTGTACAAGCTCCAAAGGTTCCTTGGATTTGAACTATGACTCCTGATACGGTAATTGATGCGCCTTACCGTACTGACAACCTCCGCATACGGTCCCTCCATGAATATCCAAGTGCGGAAGACCCCAACATTGACTTCTCCATCATGATCTTGAGCTTGTGATAGCTCACATGGCCAAGCTGACCATGTCACAAATTAGCCGTCTCATTCCTTTTGGCTTTATCTATGTATGCCGATTCTGCCAACATCACATAGATAAATTCTACCTTCCGTCCCTTTATGACAAGTTTTCCTGGTGGCTTCAAGTTTCGATAGACTTTTACATCTTATGGCCCAAATACTACATGGCTTTAAGTTTTGATAGACTTTTACATCTTATGACAAGTTTCCAGAAGCTAATTGGGAAACATATAGAAGATTCTTTTTCATACCCGGTACATGGTATACATCTTGTAGTTGTATCTGATTCGGGTTGTAGCGTGGCGTAAATGCAGTCTTTCCGATGTGTGTGATAGGTAATCTCAAATTAACACCAAATCTTTAAATAAATTTTTTTCCACTATTTCTATAAATTGTGTTTGGTTCCAAAAAAATTATATAAAAGTTTTTGTAAAGTACAGAAAAGAGTGTCACTTTACAGAAATCAATTTCAGCTCAAATATAGTTGAAATTGGATAGAAATCTGACAAAATAAATAAATAAATACCAAACTGGTACCCATACCCTATTTGCCACTCCGATTTACATTTCTCGTAGGCAAAAATCAAGCAGAAAAGTTTTGAGTGTTCCTCCCGCCCCCAAATCCTCAATCCTATCTTGTTCGCTCATTTTCTTCTTCCTCCAGCTCTCTCGCTCTCGCTTCCGTCCCCAAACCTCATCTACCTACCTCATCTTCGTTGGTTTTCTTATGGGTGAATTAGGGTTGCGAGAAAGTTTGGGGTTCTTGAAGAATACGATTTTAGGGGTTCTTTCCAGATTTTTCAAGAACACTACCACGCGCTAATTTGAGGTAAAAAAACTCTAAACCCTTAACTATTTCAGATCCGAGGCTGTTGGGATCTTGTTGATGATTTTGTGCTGAGATATTGCTTGCTGTTAACATATTGCTCCTATTTGAGCTCATTTTGCAATGAATTTATTTCTGATTAACTATCTAAGATCTGGAGATGAATTATTTGTAAATCGGGGTTCTTGAAGGATCTCCGTCGATTCCTTCTCTCTTTTGTAAATCGGGATTCCGATTGAGAAAATTATAATTTCTTTTTCTAAAGTTTGTTAGAGAGAAATTGTATTGAGAACATTGTAATAATTCTTTATCTAAATCAGTTAGAGAGAATAACACATTTTTTTTATCAATTGTCTTCTTCGAATTTTCCCACCAAACAACCCCCAACTTCACCTTCTTCCTCGGACGTCCAACCTACATCCATGAAGGGTTCCTCCTTGCGACTTGTTTTCCTTTGCCGGAGGATTTAGCAGGTTCCTTCCCTCTTCTAGAAGATACAGCCTCACGAACCGCTTCAGTGGCAAGTCTTGATGCTCTCGCCGCCTCTAGTTCTGAAATCCTACTTTTCCTTAGTGGGTGCATTGGCAGTTATGAGCCATTTACAACACAATAATGTGATCTGTAATTGAGGCTCTGCAACAGGAAGATTGAACTTAGCACATGTGCAACCTGCTATGCTCCAGAACCATGCACGAGCACAATGGGTGCAAAATGGTCTGGGTTTATCCGGACCGATCGTAACCATATCTGTTTAGAAAGCGGATATGGTAGGGAAAAATGGTCGGTTATGGTTTTGGATACCGTCATGGTTTGGATTTTTTATCCGGATACGGTTTCAGATACGGTTATTGGGTCGAAATTGCGGATACGGTTCAGATATCAGGATATTTGAAATGGGCTATATATAATACTTGTATTGGGTCTGTATTGGGTTGGGTCTATAACATATATCCACAACCCGACCCAAATTCAACTCAAACACATAACTTCAAACCCTAATTTTTATCTTTCCAAACCCCACCCCCACTCACCCAGCCTCCACCAGTCCACCTCCAAGCCGCCGCCGACCTCCCTGCTCCGCCTCCGTC